ACAACCATAGACCGAATGCGTGCAAACAGTGCGATCTCCGTAATGCAAACTGCTTCATATTGTTTTCTGTCCACCAGTATGTTCTTCCCCACTCCAATGTTGATATTTTGAATGTATAAAAATGGTCATTATAGCATTATAGACTTTGATGCACGAGCATGTTCTTTTTAAGTTATGTCACCCCCTGTCCGACAGGGACAGTGTCCCACTTTAAGGTCCATGTGTGAACAATCCACTCAGATAGATTTCAGGGGGAAGCCTGCTTGGAATTTTTTTGATATTTTCAGGAGTACACATGTAAAAACTGCTTTTGATGAACAATGTTCCTCTGTGCTTGTGTGCAGGCTGAGGAGTTCCTGCATCTGCTTAGTCAGTTCAACGAGATGGGCTTCCAGCAGAACGCCATCAAAGAGGTGCTGCTGGTCCATGAAAACCACAGAGAGCGCGCGCTGGAGGAGCTGATGATGCGAGTGGCATGACGTTTACATTAATATAGTCATTTACCGTAGGAGAATGTGAAAATAATATTACAGCTGAATATAGACGGTGGCCTTCTAGCTGAACAGTGGTGGACAAAGTACACTGAGTCCTGAAAGTAGAGATACTCCTGGTCAAATGTTACTCCAATAAAAGTGAAAGTTGCTCATTCACATGATTCATTCATTTATTCAGAACTGGAGTACTTGCTTTGAAATATATTCAAATATTTAAACTTCCTTTTAAAAAATGAAAAATATTGCTGCATTTTCAGAATGTATGAGTGCCGTCAAGAATACATGTAGGTGTACGTTTTGCTGTGTTCGGTTTATTTAGAAAACATTATTTACATTTTTCAAACACTGAGGGATACAGATTTGCAGATTGGTTGCTCCCAAACAACCAAAAAAACAAAACAATCAAAAAGACATGGTGAGCAGGGAAAATGTCAGCCAAGCTTTATACAGTGAACATTCACATTTCAAACATGGGCTAAACATATATCACCATGGGTGCTCAGGTAAAGAATCATCAACCACCATTACCACTAAATGCACTGCTGATTGACCTTTGCTCGTGTTTGCTCTACATTCAACCGCGGAGACACAGGATGTACACAGGCAACACCGCTTACACAAACCACACTCAGAACTACACGAACACAGTTTATTGTCTTACTGATCAAATTCATCAGCTGAATTCAGAGCACAAGAAGCGAGTAAAGAGAAGATTCATAGAAACGTAGAGGAGTCAAAAGTATGGTATTTGTCTTTCAATTGTAGTGGAGTAAAAGTCACAAGTTTCCCCCAAAATAATACTCAAGTAGAGAACAGACACAGAAAAAAACAAGTAAATGTACTTTGGTACTGTCCACCACTGAAGCTCAGTGATGTTTATTACAGTTGTGTGGAGGAACATGATGATGATAGTGATAAGCCAACGTTTCCATTCATGTATTTATTAACTTTTGATTACAGTCACACTCTGTGTCAGTGTATTGTGTTATCTTATCAATGTGAAATGATGTGAACAGTTACTCTATTAAACATGCACACCTCACCGCTGCCTTTCTATTTCCCCCCCACTATTTCTTCCTCTTGGTTCTTGTTTCATGGAATCTCGTTAAATCTGTCAAATGAGGGTCAGAGTCCATCAGGATCAGAAACGCAAACACAGCATCAACAGAGTTCACAGACCTCTCTGATCAGACGTCACACCGCTTCAAGATTCAGCTGGACTGATATTCTCATGAAAAGCAGATGAAGACCCGCAGGTATAACAATTATTTCCACAAAAAAAAAAAAAAAAAACATAAAGGATGAATTATATAAAACATAACTGAAGGGGTGACAAAGAGAAAAGTACAGTGGATTTAAGATTTGGGTCAGTGATTTATTTTTCAGTTTGTATCTGCTCTTCCAAATGGGTCTGACATCAATCAATCATTCCTTATAGGGCCAATTCACAACACATGTTACCTCAAGACACTTCACAAAAGAGCAGGTAAAACACCTTACTCATTGATATATTATCTACTTAGACCCAACATGAATCACTCATGAGCACAGCACTAAACCTTGAGCAATGTTAGGCAGCCTGTTAGGCCATCTGCTCAGACTGTGCTGGCTTGAAAAGTGGGATAGAGGGAGATGCAGTGGAAAAAGTTGTTTCTTGCTTCCTTTGAAACCTTAAAGTGTGTTCAGCCCTCGGACTGTAAAAAGAATGGACGATTGAATACCTCAACTCAAGTGAAGCCAAAAAAAAATGAGAGCTCATTAACTCTGCCTCCTCTGTGATTACAGATCTGGGTCAATCTATAATATCAAAATACACATCAGATAAACAGTTAAACTGTCACTCCTCAGTGGAGACTCAGTGGACACAGATGGACAGGAGATCCACACCTGGAACAGAACGTCCATCAGAAAAATCCAGGACATCAAACAGGGACTTGGTCAGCCTCAAGCAGCTGGAAGCAGCAGGGAAGTTCATCCAGACAGTTCATGAAGGAGGAGGGGAGATTAGCCCGGCTGTGACAGAGTCGAGGTGATGTCATGAACACTGACAGGATGGTGTTGGGCTTCCATAGTATCATAGGAAAGGGGAATATTCACCGGTTTTATTTTACTGAAGCAAAACTTGAGTAATAACCACAAAAATGTTGGTCAGAGCACTGCGTTATTAAACCCTTTTAAAGACGTAATATGCAATTTTTTTGATCCAGTAGATGTCGCCCTTGAGCACCAGCATGAAACCAAAACAACTCTCGCTGCATTGTTGTGTTAGCATGCTAATGCTAGTGATCTTTATTATGCTCGTATCTTCACACTGCATGCAAATTCACCTGAAATGAGCGGGATCTAGAAACACAGTTAAGCTGTGAGTACAGTATGTTATTCTTCTTTTCTCTAGTCCCTCAATTAAACAACTTTTATACACGAGGGGAGGAGTCAGCCGACGGCGATGTAAACAAACTGAAGATAGGACTCTGAAAACTCTGAAAGCATCACAGACAGTGGGACTCGGGTGTTACACCCATTGTAGACAGTCATGACTCACAGAGTTATTTTCAGAGGAGATATTTGATTTATATTATATTTAAGTGTAAAGAATCACATAAAAACCTTAATGAACATATCACGTATAAACCCTAACCCTAATGATCCTGTGATGAGTTTGTAGCTGGTTAAGAAACAGACTGAAATGAATAGTGATGCCTCTGTATAACCCACAAAAGCAAACGAGACAATCAGCGACAAGACTGATTATTTCAATAGTTGTATTAAATGCCTGAAACCACTGTCATGGGGTAGGTGTTAGATGAAGTGAGAAGCTATTTATATATTTCACTGTTGAAAGACGGAATAATTATTTTTTGGTTAAAAACAAATTCGTACACATACACGGGACAAATCAGCGAAGACTCACTGCTTTGTCCACAGTCAGCGCCAAAATAGACATAAATCAAAAGTCCCTCTCATGACCATTAAAGTAATTACAACTCATAGGTTATCAGGACACTGTGGGGAGATTCTGTGACAGCTTCTGATGTCTCTGAGGTTTTTCTCCAGGTTCTGATCCACAGAGTTCTCTATAAAGGGGGCTCTGGTTTTAGGCAGCCTCATTAGAAATGTATATATAGATCCAATTCTTCCGAAACCGTTCATTTCACGCTTCAGCCTCCATGTTTGGTCCTCTACAGTGAACTCTGTGGTCGCCTCTCGGCTGAGCGTGAACACTGAGTCTCCTCGGACCACGGCGGTGAACAGGGAACTTTTACTGTTCCCGTACTGGCCCAACATGGCCGTCCACTGCCCCGAGCTCAGGTTGTAGCGATCCATCACACATTGTAAAAAATCCTCACAAGGCCCATTACGCATCACATACAGATTGTCCTTATGGGCCACCATATGGAGACCATAACTGTGCTGGCGGATTAGTGTGGTGACCAGCAGCCACCTGTCCTGTTCAGGTACGTACTCATGTATATCTGTGGCCCCTTGACCCCTCCAGAGACAGATAAAGATCCTGTTCATGGTTATTGCAGAGACCACTGAGGCTGCAGGGGACGGCAGGGGGGATACAGACCTCCAGCTTCCATCAGATACTCTGTATCTCTCCACAGACGACAGTGCCTTCATGTTGGACTCGCCCCCCAGTGCGTACAGGCAGCCGTCATGACCAATCAGACTGAAGTTGTAGCGTAGCTGTTGGGGGCCGCAGACGATGGACCAAGTGTTGGCTGCAGGACAGTAACAGAAACCAGTCTCTACCACCTTCTTGCTCACATTGTGCACCCCTCCCATGATGTAGAGTTTGTTGTCCAGGACAGCCAAACCGGCCATGGTGGTGCTGGTGCTCAAAGGAAGGTGAGTCAGGACCTTCCAGTCTCTGCTGGTCTCGTCCAGGTAGCAGACGGTTCTCTGGAGGTCCTTCAGCAGCTCAGAGGAGGGTGAGTGGCTGCACACGGCCATGTAGCTTCTGGGCTGTAGGGACTCGATGTAGTCCACCAGGGCACATGGTAAGGCGTGGATCTCGTCCTGCAGGTCAGGGGAGAGGTCTCTGATGAACAGCGCCGAGCTGTGTGACAGATCCCAGACCCCAAAGGTGGATGCAGTGTGGTACATCAGCAGGCAGTTGTCAGAATTGATTAAACTAATGAGGTGTTTAGTCAGGGCTGGCACCTGCAGGAAGGCTGCACACTCGATGGCTTCTACGATCTGATCACTATTTAGCATAGGCTGCTTCCTGTCAAGGACCTGCAGCAGGACCAGGAAGCCCAGAGCCCCCACACAACTCAGCTGGATCTCGTCCTGTCGGCACTCTCTCATCCCAGACTGGAACAGAGCTCTAAAGTACTCACAGTTCTCAGCAAGAAGTCTTCGATCCACATCAAAAGAGCTGCCGTTGATCACCACCCTGAAGATGTGAGGGTGCTTACAGGAACCCAGCTGTGGCCAGCTGCTGGACTCCATCAGGTCCAAGCTGCTGGACTCCATGGCTTCCCTGATGTAGATCTTCATCACATAATCTGTGTCTTTGCTTGTGTCTCTTTTCTGTTTCTCTGAGTTTGTTTCTCTGCTTCGTGTCTCTGCTCTGTGTCTGTGTGGTTGTCTCTGTGCTCTATGTCTGTGTGGTTGTCTCTGTGCTCTATGTCTCTGTATTTGTCTCTGTGCTCTGTGTCTGTGTGGTTGTCTCTGTGCTCTGTGTGGTTGTCTCTGTGCTCTGTGTTTGTGTGGTTGTCTCTGTGTCTCTGTATTTGTGGCTCTGCTCTGAGCACAGCTCTATAGATAGCAGACACTCAGACTCACTGATGAAATGCAGTCGCAGAGGAAAGACGAGCCGATAATGTGATGATGGTTCATGTTGCTCTTTGTTTGTTACTGGACAGCTGGGTCTGACCTTGAGTGTCTGAACAGTCCCTCATTAACAATGGGTGCTTACCTGGTTTACACAGTGTACATGTTTTAATACATGCACACAGGAAGTTGTGTTACTTTTTTACTGAATATTATTCCCTCTGAAACTGCTGCCATGCTACTGTGAAATAAGAGATTTCATTTGACTCTGCACCCAATTACACACTCACAGGTAGATCAGAAGATTATGATTAGTTGCTTCTAATGGTCACTTTACAAAGCAGCCTCTGCCATCGGTGTGTGAATGTGTAGGTGTGACATGCGGTGTAAAAAGCGCTTTTAGTAGTCAGAAGACTAGAAAAGCGTTATACAAGCTCAAGTCCATTTACCATTTACCATGTATAAGAAGTGGCCTAAAGCTGCATTATTTCTAATGGACATCAGGGGGCGACTTCACTGGTGAATCATAAAATTCACCTACTTCTCAGTTTTCTCAGACATAAATCACTCTGTAACATTTTCCTAATACATTAAAGTGATACTTCACCCGTTGAAACATGACTCTGTATTGACATTGGGTCATATATGTAATAGAAATTTGAAATACATTTTGAAGTTGGTGCCATCTTGGCCGAGAAAAGACAGAAAGTGTCTTTTTGGCTCATGTTGGTGAAAGACACCAAATCCCAGAATGCACAGCACCGCAGGCCACTCCCACTAAGGTCCTCTATTTCAGAATCAGAAATACTTTATAAATTTTAATAAAATTTGATCGTTACAGTTTCTCCAAAATATACACGGCCAGCGCTAGCGGCCCTGGCGGCCTGTCGGCAGCAGCCGTCTCACCGCTATGTTTATATTTTTTCTCCATTATCAGCTTTCTCCATAGAGCCTGTTAGCATAGCTTCCAAGCAATATGGCGGACGTTAAGTTTCAATTCTGGGAGTGAGTTCCCACCCACTGATCTGTGATTGGTCTGTAGCTTCAGTGGTCAAAAATATGAGGAACTAGCGTTGTAGTTTCACCCTGCTAACCACAACAGCTTCCGATGATGCAAAATGACTCAGGGGAAAATGAGGGCGGGATGCACGACCATTCAAAAATACTACCAGGTTTCTAATGATCCAAAGTTTAATGCAAATGGGTGAAGTATCCCTTTAAGGGTCTTAATCTGTAGTTTCAAGTCTTCTTAAATACAGTATGATCTTTCTTCGGCAAATAACGGGCCCATTTAAGGCTCAGTTATGCTTCCTTTACGTATGATTATAATTTAGTTTTTATATAACCAACACTATACCCACATACTTCCATGCATCCTTTTCGCTGGATCAAATGTAAATAATACATTCACTAGAGCACATAGTCTCGCAAGGACCTCCACTTCTCCTTTGCTGCTGTCGAGTTGACATTCACTTCAAATCCGATCTCCGCCCAGCTGTTCTGTTGTTGAGGTCTTGTCCCTGCTCGGGCGAGGTTAGATCATATATTTTTATAGCTCCTAACCAACTCACATCTTTCTGTAAAAAAGTTCTGCCCTTTTCCAAAGTATCGTTCTTTGTTTAGCTAGTCTGTATTGCACTACACTTCACGTCAGTGCCTCCACAATTCACGCTAGTATTGCAGCATTTTGCGTGTATCAATAAGCTTCCAGAAGCAATATGTGGGCAGAAGCCTATACACAGTATATGCGTATCAAATATAGAGCATAAATTAGCCTTCAGAGTCAAGTGGACCAAAAAGCAGACTTTAGGGCAGGGCGGCCTGAAATTGAAAAGTCTTCTTCAGAACAGCAGTACACAAACCAATGAGTGACGTCATGCTTTTTTTTTTAAACATATATTTTTATACAGCTGTTGAGAGCAGCCCCTGTTAAACCTCAGCCAAGTGTCTTTTTGAGTGTGTTTGGGTTTTTTGTGTGGTTTTGCTGCAGCCTGTTTCCTTTGGTGGAGATGTGATGTGGGGGTGGGGCAGGCCCGGGAGAGGCTGAGACAGCCCATGTACGGAGGCAAATACACTTTTCTTTTTTAAGAAAAAGGAAAGATCTCCTGACTAAATCAAACTGTGAGAGGACTGGATTTTTGCAGTCAGTTTCAGTTGCAACTGATCCTCCTGCACGGTTACGCTTCAACGAGCTCTGTTTGAAGAGTTTTTCCTAAAATGGAGAGGTCATCTGTGTGCTGCTCTCCTGGGAGCTAAGGGCTCTCCTAATTCAGGATCTGGACTACAAACAGTAAGATCTGTGAGGAAAATTTTCCCTTTTTCTGGACTTGTCGGAAAAGAAGAAAACCCACAAAGCCAGCCTGAAGACTGGAGATATCATGCATCATGAGAGAGGTTAGCTGCAGTCTGTGAGGTGTTTGTGGACACATGATCATGTTTGGGAAAGTAAAGACAGGTCAGCCTGCAGCAGCAGCAGGTCCAAACTCAAGTCCAGCTGAGTGTAACCTGGTACTGCTCGGCATGATGGGCTCCGGGAAGTCAGGTAAGAATCCTTTTGTTTCACCTTCATTAACAACTGTCAGCAAAGCTTAAAAACAACTTCACAATGTTTCATTGTATTAGCTGGTAATCGGTTAGTTTGTCAGTTCCTAACAGTAAAAGTAAGTATATAGACTTCTTATCATGTACAATAGCACAAAGTCAGATTAAAGTCAGAGTTATCAGCTAACTGCAGAATGAAGACAGGTCAGAGAAATGATGCCACAGAGAAGCTGAAGATCTGGATTTATTAATTTTCATTTATTATATTTGTATTTAGCCTGGCGCTAACATGAATAATAATGCAGAGCCGTTTTTCCCAGGACCCTTTCTGACCCCTGATGCTCCTCTGAAGGTCCCTGAAGGCCTCTGTGGGCCCTCAGTCTCAGTTTCACTGTGTTTGTTTTTCAGCGCTGACAGTGAAGTTCCTAACCAAGAGATTCATCAGTGAGTACGACCCTCTGCTCGGTGAGACCCCATACACACAATAAACTGAAATACATTTAATCTAAAGTAGATCTAAACTGAAGCACATTTAAACTGAAGTAAACGATGGACCTTTGTGTATGATGTAACATCTTGTGTACAACATGTAAATGTGGGTTTTTGTAAAATGTACGTGTGTGTTTGTGTGTGTGTGTGTGTGTGTGTGTGTGTGTGTGTGTGTGTGTGTGAAATGTAGATCTTTGCTTGTTAAATGCATGACTGTAAAATGAAGTTTAACAATATATCTGAGTCAAATGTAAGTGTGTAGCACATCATTGTGTAACACATTTAGGTGTAACGTGAATGTTTGTAACATGTCTGTGAAATATGTGATATGTACACATGTAGCATGTTTGTGTTTAAAATGTATGCATTGCATGTGTGTAGCATATATTTCTGTAACACGTACAACAGGGTTGTGTATTTGTTAGCATATAACATGCTGAGTGTACTACTGTGAAATATCTGTGTGTCTTTCATGTCTGTAACAGGTTATTATTTACAGTCTATGGTTTGAACATGTATTTGTTTGTGACACAAGTTTGCTTGTAACATGTATGTGAGTAACATGTGTTACATGTATGTAAACTATATGTTTGTGACTGGTCTGTATACCATGCATTAGTGTGGCACACATACATGTAACATTTATGTGTATAACATGTAACAGTGTGTGTAACATGATGACATGTGAATATATAACGTGTACATGTATTGTGTATTTTTCAGAGGATGTGTATACCTCAGAACAGATGGTAGACCAGCAGCCGGTTACAGTCAGAGTGATGGACACCTGTGACCAGGTGAGCCTTTATCATGAATTAACTATTGAGTTTGAGTCCATGGTAACAGAAACTCAGGTTCACACCTCTACCTCACTATGTTCACACTTACAGAAGTTATTGTTATTCAGAGAAGGAAACTGACACATGGTCTGTGTAACACACATTTGAGAGATAATGCACAGAGAGTAAGTTGTTATGGCGGAACAGAACCCTGAAAGGGCGAGCATTGATGCAAAGTTGAAGGGTTCTGTACGGTGGCCGGTAGGGGTCAAACGCTCATCAACTGATGAAACGACATACATTTAGAAAAACGTGCAGCATATATAGAAACGCTGCACATTCAAAAGCAAATGCAAACTACCACAACAAATGCAAAGACACAAACGCGCTGCAAATAGGCAAAACAACTGCATAAGCATCAAACGCGCTGCAAGTACAGACACGAAACTTAAGTCAAAACACACACAACCAGAAAACAACTGCAAACACAGAAACGCTGCAAGTTCAGTAACATTGAAGTTATCCTGTGTCTTACAACGATACAACTTCCATATCTAAACATAACTTTCTGTTCCTAGCTGTCTCTCTTACTCTCTCCCGTAAATAAACAGTTCCACAGCGCCCCTACAGGCCTGGAGCACTTCCATTTAAGGCTGAACTTGCAGCGTTTCTGTGTTTGCTGTTGTTTTCTGGTTTCATCAGTTGATGAGCGTTTGACCCCTACCGGCCACCGTAGTTCTGCTCACCCTGGCGTGGTTCCTTGGCCATTAAAACATGCTCACAATACATCATCTTGCTAATTATGTGCCCACTTACTCAGAAAATGAATATTTTAAACAAACTATTGTTTGGGAAATCACGTCATTGATTTAAACATGACTTATTTCTATCGTTGAAAAGATGGTTTGTTGGTAT